GAATTGGTTATCGGAAGCTGATTGATAAGGTCTTCTAATTCATTTTCTAGAGTTTCAGTTTCTAAACTTTCCGTCACGTCTGTCTGGAGTAAGAAAATCATTGCAGGCAAAGTTGTAGGAAGAATTTCCGTCCAGTTCCAACTATACTGGATTGTCGTACAGGTAACATTACGCCAAGCATTGTCAATGTAATGATTGCATTAAAGATAGTCATTTTAGAGAGTTCGCCACCCTCTTCTGAAAGTTTTTCATATGTATAGAGTTTTTCACGACATAAAATTTTACGATAATGAGCCTAATATTTAAATAATGATTGGATCAATTAAACAGTAAAATCGAATCTTAATAGAACAAACTTATTTGCATAAAATATAGTATATATATCTTTAAACTATAAATTATGTTTTGATCCAAAGGCTGAAGAACGGCGATAGTATTAGGTGGGAGGAAATGGAGTCGAACGTTGGATAAATTTTCTGTATCTCGTGTCTCATAACAACTAGCATTATCTAAAAGCAGGATAATTTTTCTATTCACAAGTTTCATTTGAGAATTTAGACGTACTAGATAAGAATAAAAGATGCTTCTTTGTATCCATGCTTTAGCGTTCCAGTAATACCAAACTGGTAATGTAGATTTGCTTATACCTTTCAATGCACGTGGTGACTCATACTTGTGTATAAGAAGTATTGGCAATTTTTCATCACCAGAGACATTACAAGTTAATAATAGTGTAATATGTTCTTTTGATTTTTTTTTGCCTGGTAAAGGCATATGTGCAATTGACCTATCTGGTTCTAGTTGCCAGTACAAAGCGGTTTCGTCACAGTTGAATATGTCTCAACGATTATATTCTTTAAGAATATTCTGCAAGTCAGCTCGGAATTGTGGAATATCTTCCATGTTAACGCTTCCAATTTCACCATGCTTTTTATATAATCGTAAGTTATTTCTCTTTTTGAAATTCTTTAACCATCCAGATGAAGCAAGAAATTTGTTGTCATATCCAAATTCTTTTGTGAATGCCAAGGCATGTTCCATTAAAATACTGTCATTCAGGTTAATGTCACTGCGAATTAATACATGCTCCACCTAGAGTTTCATTGCATCATTGATTTCGATAAATGCAAGCTTTTGATTATGCTTTTGCTTAGCACTTACAGTTCCTGTTTCTATTGTTGACCATATTTTTTCTTGTCTCAAAATATCTGAGACTGCCTGTTTTGATATTTTATACTCCCTTGCCATATCTTTTTGCTTAAGTATAGGATTAACTCGCATACATTCACATAGTTCCTTTTTCTATAATGCCGTTAAGCTAACGTGGGTTCTTTTATTTACATCATTTTGCTGAGAAGCATCTTTTTGTTTATTATTTAAATTGATTGGATCATAAGTCGACATTATAATAAGCTTGTTAAATTTGTGAGGAAAACAGAACGATCGAATTTTATTTTTATACTTAATTATGTATAATGGACTCCGCTATAATATAGTGAACTTTGATATAGATATATCAGATTTCGTTATACAAAATCCGATATATCAAGCTAAGCTAATTAGATGTGTTCGGACAAATTAGTCTGAATCCGTTATATCACCATTTAATATAAAAGTCCGCTATATAACTTAGTAAAAATTCTGTCCCAGAAAAAAAGTCCGTACAAGTCAAAATCCATTATATCGATCGTCCGTTATATTGACTTTCACTGTGTAATCAATATTTTTTTGACTTAAGTTTGAAATATTGAATATTGAAAATTATCTAATACCTCTTATTTTCTCTTTACTAATACAAACAAATAAATTATATATTTTTCATACTCTCTTTTTTCTTTTTTCAATATATTATTAGTAATATTATCAGGTAGTTGTTTCTGAATTTTATTATAACAAGAGTCAAAAAAGCCCAATCTCTATATTTTAGTTTTTTATAATAATTAAAATGTTTTTTTATAGTTTTATCAAAATTAAAATATTTTTAATGACTTTTCTACTTGTTATCTTACTTTTAGATTAAGTCTATATAATTTGCTATAATAATACAAAAAATTTTTAATACTTTTATTAACTTTTATTGTTTTTTCAGAATTTTTATATATAGTAGAAATCATATGTCATTGCTTAACTTTTTAAAAATTCAAATCTAATTCAAATGTTTTAAAAATATTAAAACAAATAGTTTATTACAATTCTTGATCTTCTAATTTTTTTTAGGTTTTTGTAATTGCTAGAACAAAATTTAGATAAGAGTCAAATTTTTGAGATTATTCTTTTATCAAATTTTTTTTAACTTATAAAATAATCCATATATCAATAATTTACTTAACCAGAAATTCTTAAAAAATTATATGTTAAAATCTAGGTTTTTTTATATTATTGATAAAAAATTTGATATATTTTGATAAGACAGTTGTTAAAAAATTAATTTCTAATTTGCTAAGTTTAAAAAATGACTTTTCAAAATATAATTTTTATTAATTTTACTATATAATTTATAATTTTTATAATAAATTATATAGTAAAATTGTATTTAAAAAGTCATCAGCAAATTTAAATTTAAAAATTAATTTTTTAACAACTGTCTTATCAAAATATGTCAAATTTTTTGTCAATAATATAAAAGAATCTAGATTTTAATATATAATTTTTAAGAATTTTTGATTATATAAATTATTGATATATGGATTATTTTTTAATAATTTTCAAGTTAAAAAAATCCATTAAAAAATAATCTCAAAAATTTGACTCTCATCTAAATTTTGTTCTAGCAATTACAAAAACTTGAAAAAAATTAAAGGATCAAGAATTGTAATAAACAATTTGTTCTAATATTTTTAAAAAATTTGAATTTGATTTGAATTTTTAAAGAGTTGATCAATAACATATGATTTTTACTATATAGTTGATATTATTATTCAATAAGATTTTAATATAAAAAAATCTAAGACTTTAAAAAGTATTAAATTAATATTAAATTAATATTAAAATAATATCAATCTATAGTAAATTTAATATATGGATTATAATTCACTTATATAAATTTATAATAAAATTAAATATTAAATTAGTATTAAAGTTATATTGAAATAATATTATTAGAAACTTTAAAAGAATTTTCTTTTGATACTTGTTTCTTTATTTTCTTATTTTATAATTTGTTATAAATTATTAACATACTTTTTTAATAGGATAGATGAAATTTCAACTTAATATATATTTCTTTATTTATATTTATATCTATATTTTGATTTTGGCTCAAAGTTTTTTGAAAACTAAATTCAATATTATGAATGAATTCATTAGTTAGATTTAAAGTATCACTTATTTCAGAAGATATAGAGTTTTATTATTAAATTTTATTAATAAGCTTAATACTTTTTTCATATGTAATAAAGGGATATTTATTTGATATAATAAGTAGAATCTTTTTCTTAATTAAGAATTATAATGATTCTGAATTCAATTATATTTGATTCCAGCTCTCATAATAAATTTAATAGGTGAGTTATAATCCATATATATATTTTATATACAGTATATATAGGTTTATGCAAATTTATACAATTCTAATTTTTGAAATTATATTCTTGATATAGAATTTATAAAAGATATGACTATAATTAAGTATAATGAATAATTTATAGGTAATAGATATAATTTTTTATTATATCTAAATATTGAATTGGTTCAGGAATATTTGTTATAAAACAATAAGTTCAACTTTCTTTTTAAACAAAATCTCTTATTTCTTTTAAAATATTATATATAAGAACTTTGAGATTAGAAAGAAATATATCAATAATATATATAATTAGATAGAAATATAACAAATTTAATAATATCCAAAATAAATTGCATATTTTGAGATAAATATAACTAATTTAATTAATAAGTGAAAAAAGAAGCTATATTAAAGAATATACTAATAATAAAGAAGTTATTATAAAAGGTCTGCAAATATAGAAATAAAAGATTTAAGCAAAAATGTGAAAACAGATATAAATAAAATAAATTCTTCCAAATACAAAAGAAAATATACTATCTGTTTTTATTTTTTTATTAAAGTTAATATTACTTTTAGATCTATCAAAGGTATAATTATTATCATAAATTATTTGTCCATTTTTAAGCATGTAACTTGAACTTGCAGAATATAATAACAATGATCAGTTAGATGATGTTTATACATGTATTACAGTAGCAGTAGTACAATTATTACTTTTTTTTTAATATATGTATAACTTGCGACAATCAAATTTTATGAATTTGCATATATAGAAAAAACTCTTTCCCGTAAATCGATTTTTTGCAAAAAATTTCCTTTTATAGAAACAACTTTAAAACAAACTCTTCTTCTTTTCCCAAGCGCTTCCAAGCATACAATTCAAACCTACCACTTCTACCATGGAGCAAGCAACACTTTCAACAAATCCTAAACAATTCCTTCATGCTACTATTCATAATGACTGGAACAGAAATTTCAAATCTACTTCCTTGACTTGAAAACATATACAATTCACAAAACTGATTTTTTCAAATCCATCTTTATCCCTAACCTTACCAACTACTCCAAACAATTCCTCATCATTAAAAAGAGAAAAAACATTGAAGAAATTCTTAACACCAGTGCCACTTATGATGTCCGAATTCTTAACTTTGAAAAAAGTCCTAACAGAGACAATAGAACCCAAATGGTAAAATTATCATCCAAAATTCAAGAAAAGATCACTTTAACTTTAATCTTATAAGTAACATTGTAAACGAAATGGAAAAAGTCCAGTTTGATCAACAACTTCATAAACATTTCCAAGAATTTTTTCTTTCATCTGAAGGAAAAACAAAAAATACTTTGCAGCTTTCCCCTAAAAATGATCGACCATCAATCATTTCTCCTGTCATCCAAATAAGTAACGTCAATTAAAATCCTGAAACAATATACCATGCAAATCCCTTGTCAATCCAGTCAGTTACAACCAAAATTGAAAACACCAATGAAATCAGTACTACCCATGACACACCATTAAAACTTTCAAATTTGAATGTTCCAATCCACAAACAATCACAAAAAAGTGACCAATCATATCCTATTACAACTTCATCCAACAGTCACAAAATCTCCCTGGCTAGTCTTGATATGGAAATCAGTACTATCCACCACACAAACCAATTAAATATTATGATTATTGATGACATCATTGATTTGAACAAGTTATCAAAATCTCCTCCTCAAACAAATAACCAAAACTTTACAAAACTTCCTTAATCAAAATCTTCCAATCAATTATCAGGAAATTTTTTTGGCGAAGATCTTCACAAATCTTCGGGCGTAGACCTCCGGAGAAACTCCGTCGTCGTTAAAA